ATTCCTTTACAACCGAATGTTTACAGTTAGTGTCATGAGAAACCCGTATTAATATTTTCAATACCAATGACTCGTCCAACCTTTTCAATGTTTGCATCACGTCGCCTGGGATTATCACTGCTAGCGTTAGAGCATCTATATCAGCGAGTACATCGACAATTTTTCTACAGCAATTATAAATTAGAACAGATTTCACCTAGAGCATCCCCAGCTGTGAGTAAAACTTGACTTTTTGCATCAATTATCGACCAGTACGGCTTCCCCTCAAACTTATGCGCTTGAAATTGCACCACAGTTAATGTGGCTTTATGCTATAATTTTAACTTACCTGTACGTGCGCTCTAATCGTTTGTCAGCATCATTTCGAGCTTCCTCGTTGACCTTGATCGTTTCGTTGTGCTTTCTAATTTGTATTTTTGCAAGGACATGCGAGTTGATTGAACTCGTAATATGCGCTTTTTCCAAGCCGATGACATTCTTGGTCTCGAGTTTCGGAGCAAATGCCATGCCGGTCATAAAAGGATCTTGGGTGTCGCAGATTTACAAATGTAGGCCGATTAAACAAAATATCTTTGCAAGTTGTCATCTAACTAATTTTGCTGCTGTGGTGTACTTTTACGAGTTTAGGTAAATAATGATTTTGTTTGGACAAAGTTAAATAAAACAGTTTGATGGAGATGTTCTTGTGACTACTATTATCTCTGCATGAATAAACAAAAAAACGGCTTCGTCATCAGTTTAATTTTGTTAATCACTCTCCAGAACGATTTTTATGATAATGATCACTAGACGGCAATGAAGAGATAAGTACGAGGTATGCATCTTGAGCATCAGCAGTAAAATTATGTTCAAGTTTTTTGGGTTGGTAAGGATGTTTGTTTTATAAATTATTATTCAAACACATACCAGAATAAAGAGAAATGTAAGTTTGTAAAATTTGTGGTTGTTTATAATATGCTGGGATATGTGTTTTACTGTAGCATTCTTCATGTCGGAGTAGCTAAACACCTATTATTGCTAAAACACGCCTATTGTTTTTATAAAGGAACGGGTTATTGATGGCCGACGGTCGGGTGAGTGATGTATAATTGTTGTAAAAGAGACGTCTCAGCATGATGTGACAGAATTGTGTTCTGTAGCTCAGCCGGTTTGGTATGGCAGTACCATCCCAAAGGTCACTGGTTCGATACCGGTGGGGGAGTTCAAACAACAAGTTAGGCCTTCGGGATCTGGTGTTTGGGGTTCACCAGCACTTACTGCCAGACAGTGACGTCCCCCATTTTCGGTACGTTTGGGTGTTCAGAAACGCACGACCACAATTAGAAACGTACGACTAGACGACTCGTAATACGCGACTAGACGATTAGTAATGCGCGATGTGGCGATTACTAATGCGCGACTATACGATCAGTAATGCGCGATATAGAGATTAGGAACGTGTAGTCGAAGAATCCTGTAGGCTTAGAGTAGCAACAGAGTTTGTGAACTAAGGACCTAGATATATTCACTTCGCATTTAACCATCTAGTGCTCGACTGCCTGAGCCTTTAATAATACCGCACAGTATAATGATAAAGTTATTGCTTCACTAAAGTCTTGGGGTGTACCATTCTCTCAGGCCATTAGTTCCGTTTCAGCATCTGTTCAACGGGTGCAGTACATTATAAGAGTAGACGATCTCGTTTAGTTTGGAAAATGGAGTTGCATCGTTTACCACAAGTGTTTGCTTTTTCACCACAGTAGTCACACTTCCTCCTCTAATAAATGATGCCATTTACACAACAACTGTTGCGGATTTCCATTGCACACACTCTGTCCCAACCTCTACTAATGATAATTTGAGTTTGACTATGTCTAACTAGTACCTTTATAAAAAATTTGAAGATCAGAGCTGATTAAGCCCTTAGACGAGCTGTTTCCAACGATAAAGTGACTGGCACAGCTGCTGCTGGAGGAGAAAGCACGTGGTATGATGTTGAAAAGAAGATCATTAACTAGCCACAGTAATGACGACGGTATGTTGTTGGACGGCGAGGATGCACTCCTACCCACTTCAATAATAAGATCGTCCGGGAGAATGTAAGGTACAACGCTTAAATCACCAAGCTTCCACAAGCGTCCTGGACAGCGCCATATTTGCTACCATAAAAATTAGATTGAAGTAGAGTAATTTATATTATAGCCACCACTACTCCAAGCAATAATAAGGTCCTGCTAAACAACGAACCTAAATGCTTGTGCAAGAATATGTAAGTGTTGTAATGACGGTAAAAGCGGACAATGCGTGGTGCGTTAGAATGACTAATTAAAGCTTTATCCATGGATTAAGCTTTTTTACGTACAGTACATCCTCACATCGATTTGCCGTACACACGCTTTTTTCGAGTTTTATTATCCTTTAATGCAGCAAAACGGTTGAATGACGACAGCAGATGAAGTGTCTACATCACCAATGATGGTGGTGGTATTGCTGTTCGTCGGATGCTGGAAGCTGTCTTCATGATACTTCTCGGTTTCGCTGGAAACCGCTGCGTACCTTGCACCTCGAAAATGAAAAGATGTTTCCTGAGCAGCACTTATAGGCAAGTTTTTTAATCGTCACATATGTCCATGGCTAGTTTGCGTGTTGGTCAGTAGGACTGACGCGTTTACGGCGATTGTTACGGGGTTTATTTGTGGTACAGTGATGGAATAGTAATTGTGTATGAATCTAGCATTTTTTTAAAGAAGGTACAAAGGTATGTTCTTTTGCTGTCATCACGACGCCGACCTATCCTGTCACACAGAAAAGTAAAGCTCAAGCCCGCTGCAGCGCTATTAGATGTCTACGTTGGGGGTAACGGCAGCCGCTCGACAACTTGATTGAGCGATTCATTGCTGCAAGTTGCCGATCACTGACACCTTAGCATCTAGTACACTGAAATGTGTGTGCTCGCGCGTTATTCTCTTTGACTTTAAAGTCTTCATGCGAACACTCAGCGTCGAGGTGGTTGCTTGTCCATCAATTCGGCTGCGCAGCGTTCTGACCAGGAGCGTTGCTTGCTTGACGTTGTGGGTCGAAAGTGTGCTGTCACTGTTGCATACAAGAAGTGCGCTCTGTTAAAACACGCTAATTTCTTAATTCCGCTTTGGACGGATAGAATGGGGCTCTCTTCTTCGAGAGCTACTACAGACCTAACTAGTTGTAGCTTCTCAGGGAACGGAGGCTTCAGCAGGTAGTATTATAACGTAGTTATTTTACGAGAAACCGAACACGTTTATCTTACATGTCATGCTCTCGGCGACTTCAAGAAAATCGTTCGTCACGGACACGAAAGTGTTGCGTATTGATCCAGCTTCGCGGCCCTGTCAACTTGCACTTTTCCGTTCTTTGCCGGACCATTTCTCCGCTCCGACCGAAGTCGTGTCGCCGTTTTTATTGACGTACTTTCTCGTACGCATCTTGCAGAATATGAACAATATCGTATGTGTCGCGGCCAACTGAGAGCTCATCATCCAGCTCTGCATGATCGTGCGCTTGTAAGATAAAGACCAGCGACTTGACCTGCCGTTGTTCCAATGGCGGTTTTCCATTTTAATTTGGGTAGAGCAGGGCAGCAGCCTCATGTGATTAAGGTTAATGCAGTATCAAGAGAATGCGCTAAGAGCGTAGCTGCTAGAGTCCCCCATGATCCTTAATGCAACAGATGCCTCCCACATATCTTTGCGACTTTCGCGTGCCGCGAACATGAGAGTCACGCGCTCAAGTAACGGTCGTGTTCTCGAAATCTAAGGTCAAAACGAGGCGGGATAGAGCATACATTAGCAGGTTACCTCCACGGAACGACGTTGGCCATAGTGGCCGCCGTCGGGTAGGCAGCGGAAATGACCGAAGTCCTTCCATTCAGGTTGCACACGATCCCTGCTTTGAATGCTGATGTTTTGCTGCTATAGTAACAGACCGGTAAATTGCTCCTAATTCGTCAAAGTCGTCAAAGCGTCGTACTGCCGTTCCACTAGAACGAGAGCACCTGCTATTAGTTCAGGATTGCTAACGATTAGCGCCCATGAATCGACTGCGCTTACTCATGGAGTGCTTTTTGTCCGCCATGTTTTGTCGAGCGGCGCCGGAATTAGACCGGCCTTATCAATTCATTGCAAAAAATGCTTAAATGAAAGAAATGGTAAACACGGTAGAAGATGTGGCCCTGATTATAATTTGCTGATCGACTAGTGCTGTACTTTGACAATAATCATATTTTGAATCGCTAACTTTGTTTTTCTTTATCCACGGAGGAGCAAGTAGAAGGCCAGGACAATTACGGAGCGGCCAGAAAGAAAGACTTCACAATACTTTGACTGCCTTTGCTGGGTTTTGACTGGGTTGGCGCTGATCGAAAATGTAAAAGTTAGTTTACTTGTCATGCCTCCATCTCCTTCTCTACACATTTTCAAGTCGACGCTTTCAAGTATCACGAACAGTCAATACTTGAGACGTTTACCATTTCGATTGACTTGCCACTAATTCGAAGCTTTCGTTACTTCAAGCTTGGTACAAGTGGCGTTTACACGTAAATCGTCGAAACGATGTTCGTCAGCGTCTCGATCGGCTCCTGGATTGCGGTGAACAATTGTATTTGTTTCTTATGACGATTGTCGTCGTGCATGTCTCGTCTCAAAGATGGACAGCCTAACTTGTAACGTGTCAACAAGGAGCATGCGTGGACGATCAAACGACAACAGTCATATCAGACAATTCTTGAGAATGGAAAGCGACAGCTCAAGCACGGTCTATTTTTATATAATTTGGAAACCACTTGCGTATTGGTCTTGTTTTTTAAAGTTACCATTAAGGCAATGGAGCAGATTCGATGCTATTTGTTGCAAACATGCCGAGCGCGTAATATCTGTTTTGCACAAATAGCACGCGTGCCCCTCACCGCGCTTGTTTTTTATTGCTCACTCTTGTGCAACGTTTTCGTTCAGCTCTTCCAGCCAGAACATCTTCATGTCGTCAATGTACTAGTAATCCGAGTCGTAGTACAAAAAACCAGAACTAACGGGCACGCCTGCCCTCGGCAAAATGTCAGGATCAATCACACTCGATCGGTGAATAAACATATCCGACCGAGGTTGGCCTCCTGCCAAGCGCTGGCGGACATTTTCCAAACTTTGCAGAATACTAGAATTCCCACGTGGAGGTTCAGTCTCTCGTCTGGATCGACTGTCTTCAACCGCCGAGCTTTCCGTGGCGGCAGGCGAGTTGCTAGTGGCAACGGTTTCTGGTAAGCCCAGCATTAAACACTCTGTGCGGTGGAGCTCCACCAAAGTCGACATGTCACGATTAGCATGGGTCGAAACATTGTGCGCGCGACAAAAAGGGCAGAAATTATTGCGCCTCAGTGCTTGGCGTAACACGCCCGACGAGAAAGTCTTTCCGCAGCACGTAGTGACGACCGGGTCCTCAAACAGATCCAGCGAAATTGGGCACGTGAGCACCGTTTCGCGCTCCAACAAGTTCTCGTGGCTGATATCGCGTTGGGCATTAATTGCTTCACTTGCTTGTTCTAGGAGATCAGCTCGCTCCGCATCAAACTTAGTCTCCATGTCTTTCATACGCTGGTTCAGCTCTTGATGAGAAGTCTTGCCCGTAACCGTGACAGTCTGCTGAGCCGGTTTTTGAATGCCACTGGCACAGTTTCCTTGCTCGCGATCATACGCGTCAAGTAGCCCCCGCAGTTGCGGCAACATTCTCTTTAATGAAGAGTCCAGCTCCGTCTGAGCATTCGAAGCAACTCGCGCGAGCTGCTGTTGCAACCGATTTCGTTCTGCTACAAACCCAGCGCGTTCATTTTGCAGCTGTCTTTCCAGTTCCTCAATCATCCTTTGCTGGACTTCGTAAGTATCTTGCTGTGACCCCTCTCCCGTCTCACCTAAACCCTGTGCATTCACCAACCCCCTCAGACGAGTTACCACCTCGTTCTTGCGATGAAGAAGCTGCTGCGTCTGATGGTCGGGGGCGCGATTCCGATAGCGCTGATTCAGAGCAGATCCGAGTTCCAACAGAACGGACTTAGACTCCTCCGCTAGACTCAGGAGCTGCGCCTTCAGGTGCGCACACTCTGCCGCTTGCTGACGTCCTCTGTCTCGTGATGCCATTGACGCTTTTCCACTTGTGTGCAGAGTCGGTGGACGGATGCGTTCTGCTTTTCGAGGATGTCGCTGGGCGATGCGTCTTCGGGATCAGAAATATCAGGAGGAGAGACGATTGATGGAATCGCTTCGAAAGTGGCAGAGAATGGCGACTGTATCGAATATCGAATATCGAAAGAAAGAAAGAATACGATCCCACTTTCGAGGTGACCGACCATGTCTGAGGCTCGTTCGGAAATAGCATGTGATGCGGAACCACTGAATGGCTGAAGCGCAACAGTCTTCTTACGATGAATATCTAGCAATGCGTGCGAATGTAAACTTTACTAGTCAACGTGGGCTCTGTGTCTGGCTTTACCTCTGCATCTTACAGTTGGAACGCTACGTATGTCACAGTAAAGGGCGTTTTACGATTAATAGATGCATGTCGACCACGTCTGTCTACTTATCTTGGAGATGAAAGGACTTGGTTTACACAGTCAGCGTGATTAGCTGTGAAACCATGAACGTTTGTCAATTTAATTTGCTTTTGTTTACCTACTCAACATGGTGTTCCGAGAAATGTCTACCGTGCGACTGATAGATAACACGTTGTAATATGCATATCCTATCTACGCTCAAGATGCAACGGGGCACTGGTCACTGACAACAGTGTAGGCAGTGTCGCGCGTCACTTCACGTACACCGTACGAGCAAAGAAAGTGTAACGGGGCTACACGCGGTTATCTGAGCCGGTCATGTGGTGTGTCCACACCAATTAAAGATAGGTGGATCTGAGTGGCACAGTCTTGGTACCACGCACTTACGGTAATACCGCACCTTATCGGCTAGGGATAAGGGATAAGACTTCTGTCATAGGATCGCAATGTAGAAGTCAATCAGCCAAGGGTTTAGGGTTTTATTTTACCGTAGTTAAAAAGAATGAAGAAAGTTTGGTTTCCCTTTTGAATCCTTGGACACAAGTGCCTAGTAAAGGCGTAGTGTTGTTAAGAGAATTAGCCTTGTCAAGGAGCTTACTCTTGTTTAATTAGTAGTGCCTAGTGAGTGTGTGATTCTGTGAATCGTAATCCCTTTGGAACCGGGATTGTTGAGCTTGAACGTCTGCACGTCGTTGTTATTTTGATAAAACTAAGAGACTCTATAATCCTAAGACTTCCTCTGTTAGGAGCGCTAGTAGCCACGCTACACTTGGTAGCACTTGTAGTCATTTCACACCTGAGTCTTCACAGACTGAATCCTCTGCAAGGATGGAAACGGCCATGAACCTCCCTAAGGCCCGGCAGATCACGCTTGAGAAGCTCAGGCGTTAATCGGACACGAACAAGTGGCTCTTATATTGCCGCAAGGCCCGGATGCACTTCTTGCACGTTTTAAAGATTTCTCGAAATTTGAGCCTACGTTGATCGGACAGGTCCATGAACATTTGGCATCTACCATGCCCATTTGGTATGTTCCAAAACCGGACACTGAGTCAACTTCTCGCTCTCTGGTCTTAAGTGCTAAGATGTTTGAGGGAAAGAGGGAGATAATGTTCCTTGTTTGGTTCGAGAGATGGAGGTTGACATCAGCTCGGCTCTGCTGCGGTCAGAGCAGCAAAAGCTGGGCCCGGCCCTATCGAAGTTAGAGGGCAATCCAGGAAGTGGGCCTTCGCTTCTGGCACCTCGATAAAAGAGGCTTTCCCACCTGGGACATGCTAAGACATCACCTATGTCGGGTGTTTGCCCCGCCTAATCCGGCATATCACGTGCAATTACGCTTCCTGTCAACCCGTCAGGGTAAAAAACTTAGTCGATAATGTCCAGGAGTTGCGAACTCTCGTCTCTGCTATACAGCTTAAAACCTTTATCTGAGACGGTTCTGGTGACCAATTTCATGGAGCTTCTTCGCACCGGCGTTGCCAGAACAGAAGTGGTCTGTGCCCAAACTTCGACATTTGAGGTGCAGTGGACATAGCGTTGAACGCAGAGTTCAACTTCAAAGCTGCCCGTTATGGAATCAATGGGTTCCTACCAAACTCGTCGAGCAATGCTCATCTTTTGGGTTATTCTGAACCTATGGACCTTAGTCTCGCTGAGAGAGACGAAGAAGCTGAGCTTTACGCTGTCGAACAGCGTTTGAACATCCGTAGATTTTCTATGTGCGGAATCATCAAACATCTTCGCCCCAATTGTCATTTGGGAAGGACCAGACAGGCTCATTCGAGTCGACCTTCCACCGCTAACTAACCATTCGGTAAGGCACGGGAAAACGTCGAGTCCCATAGGCGCGGGGCGCCCTGCTGGGGAAGGCTTAGTCTCTGTTGTGTCTCTGGGAGGTGATGGAGAACAGTGCCTAGCCCCAAGTGACTTTGTGACAAAGTCACGAAGCATGCGTATTAGCCAGGCTCGTTATTTGGAAAAGCAATAGTAAAGAGCTCTGATAAGCCATAGTCAATTTTGATCGACTCCGGGGCGTCGGAAAATTACGTCCGACGTTGTTCCCTGGAAGTTAGCCCGCAGTATGCTGAGGCGCTATAAGAACGAAAGAGTGATACTGTCACTGTTCGCTTGGCGGCAGGTGTATTAGTCATTCACCCTTAAGTTCCTGTGAACTTAGGCGTCAAGTTTTTGGACTTTGACAGTATCGAACGCTGACTAGTCCTTGACTTGGATGAGACGTATGATCTCATCCTTGGTACGGCTCGGCTAGAACCCCTTGAGCTATGGATTGATTGGAGGTCAACGACCTTAGGCGCAACGCGCAATGTTTCTTGTGGAGCTTTGGACAGTCATGAGCCCACGTCTTCTAGGAAACAGAAGCGATTTTGGCGCGAGCCACAGACGAAGACAATCAGTGTGCTGGACATCGGTATGACTGAACTTATTGAGTTAAACGATGTCATAAACATTGGTTACGAACCCAGCTCAATGTATGTTAGTGGATCGGCACTTACTTCGTCGAGTGGTAATCGTTGAGATAACGAATTACCTGATGCTGAATGCATGTTGGCCAAGAGCCAAGTCATCATGGGCGGAACCCATCTGGTTAGCGTGAAGCAGCACGTGAGTACCCACTGAGTGATGCTGGCCGTGATTGCGACACACTGAATGTCAGTCAAGACATTGTTGGTGAAACATCAAGTCATCAAGGGAGACGTCCATTTAATGAGCGTGTAGTGGAGCTTGAGTACTCAGTGGGTGGTGATATCACGGTAAGTGACTCATCACCAGATGTCGCCATTGACATCGGATCGAAAATAGATCAAATAAAGATTGACACAATTCGTCACCTTGGGGGCGACATAGTCCTGGATTTCGGTAAAAAAGCTACAGCACCTCTAATATGTGGCAAATTAAGGTTGACGCAGTTCGTCACTTTGGGTACGGTATAGTCTTGGATGTCGGCAATGACATCGTCTTTAAAATAAATGTTGATGGTCATGTTAACCTTAGGTACATTGATGTAGTGGGTGTCGGCAATCACACCGGCTCTTGTACAGAGAAACTTAGGGAAGATGATGATATTAAGTTTAAAAATAAGACAGTTCTAGTATCTTTTTTGAAATGTTCAATCTCGTCACAGAGACGACAGTGACACCAGAGCGATGCTGTGGCAAGGCGTCGGTTACTTCACTGAGTGATACTAGCGAGAATCTATATACACTTGATAAAGGAATGACTATTGGCGTTGACGGATCAGTGAGTCTTAAGAATCTACCCTCAGTGGATCTTCTGTTAGAGACAGACGAAATGTCTTTCGATGAGTTTGGCCTGAGCTTTAAAGTCGAGTGGCTTAACTGAAGTGGTGGCCATTATATCCGATAGTGAGTTGAACTAGTCGTCACTTCTTGACGAAGCTGTTTTGTGAGAAAAAAGGGCGGCACTGAGTGCTCGAAGTGTGTCATTGATCTTAACCTATCCTAGGGACCCGTGGTTTTCTCTTGTTAAGGAGTTTCCGAACGTGGTGTGCAACGATCCACCTTCCACTCTGCCTCCTGATCGAGGCGTACGTGATACGATTTTCCTAGTTCCTGGAACCAAATACTGTGTGACACGGCAATGGGCCGTACCAAAGGAGCAGTGTGACGTCATTGACGAGTTCTTTCGTTCAAAGCACGCGGATGTCAGTGTGAGTTAAAACAAGTCTCCGCACTCGACACCGACATTTTTTGTCCGAAAGCCAGATGGCAAATAGCACATTGTGCATGCTTACAATAACTTCGATGCAGCCACTATACAGGCAGAGACGCGCATCCCTAGAAAGAGCATTTTTTAGAACGCTATGGTCGGCTGTACCATGTTCAGTACACTCTATTTGGTCGATGGGTATTACCAATTGCTCATGCGAGCGAGCGATATTCCGCTCACAGCGGTTAGCACTTTAAGCACTATGCTTTGGGATGGGCTTTTCATGTCTCAAGGGATGTCTAATGCATCGGCTACATTCAATCGTCTTGTGACGCAATTGTGTCGACCTCACCGAGGATATGCACAAAGCTATTTCGATGACATCTTTGTCCATAGCCGTGCAAAACATGGTAGGTCAGATGAGTAAAATCACATCGACCATTTACGGGCAATGCTCGAGTGCATGCGTACGGAAAGCTGTATACAAATGTATCATAATTCATTTTTAATGTAAAAGAAATTTTCTTTCTCGAGTGCTTCATTGGAAAGCGTGGCCTTCGAGCGAATCCCGCTAATTTAAAGTCAACTGTTGACTGGCCGGTTCCGTCGAACTAAAAGGACTTGCGTAAAAGGCTCGTCCTTGCTAGTTACTTTCACTAGTATATTGCAATTTACACTGACATGGCACGACCATTAACCAAACTTCTCAAGAAGGATGCACTTTTTGGTGTTAGGACGCAGTCCATGCTCAATCTTTTAAAGCTATAGAGGGCAGCCTCCTTCATGCTCCAAGTTTGGTTTTGCCTGACCATGAGCGGCCTTTTAGTTTCGTCTGTGACGCATTTGATCTTGCTATTAATTGTGCATTATTGCGTACAGATGTCGACGTACATGGGTGTG